ATTCTCCATAGATCACACTCTGTAGATCATCGAGAACAGAAGTCTCCTTAGATCACAAAGCACAGAACTCTCCTATAGATCTCCACCGAGAACAGAACTCTCCTTAGACCACCAAGCACAGAACATTCTATAGATCATTGAGAACAGAACTCTCCTTAGATCACAAAGCACAGAACTCTCTATAGATCACCGAGAACAGAACTCTCCTTAGACCATCAAGCACAGAACACTCTATAGATCACCGAGAACAGAACTCTCCTTAGATCATCATGCACAGAACACTCTATAGATCACCGAGAACAGAACTCTCCTTAGACCACCAAGCACAGAACACTCTGTAGATCATCGAGAACAGAACTCTCCTTAGATCACAAAGCACAGAACTCTCTATAGATCACCGAGAACAGAACTCTCCTTAGACCATCAAGCACAGAACATTCTGTAGATCATCGAGAACAAAACTCTCCTTAGATCACAAAGCACAGAACTCTCTATAGATCACCGAGAACAGAACTCTCCTTAGATCATCAAGCACAGAACACTCTGTAGATCACCGAGAACAGAACTCTCCTTAGATCACAAAGCACAGAACTCTCTATAGATCACCGAGAACAGAACTCTCCTTAGACCACCAAGCACAGAACACTCTGTAGCTCATCGAGAACAGAACTCTCCTTAGATCACAAAGCACAGACAGAACTCTCTATAGATCACCAAGAACAGAACTCTCCTTAGATCATCAAGCACAGAACACTCTATAGATCACCGAGAACAGAACTCTCCTTGGATCATCATGCACAGAACACTCTATAGATCACCGAGAACAGAACTCTCCTTAGACCACCAAGCACAGAACACTCTGTAGATCATCGAGAACAGAAGTCTCCTTAGATCACAAAGCACAGAACTCTCTATAGATCACCGAGAACAGAACTCTCCATTGACCACCAAGCACAGAACATTCTGTAGATCATTGAGAACAAAACTCTCCTTAGATCACAAAGCACAGAACTCTCTATAGATCACCAAGAACAGAACTCTCCTTAGATCATCAAGCAAGCACAGAACACTCTATAGATCACCGAGAACAGAACTCTCCTTGGATCATCATGCACAGAACACTCTATAGATCACCGAGAACAGAACTCTCCTTAGACCACCAAGCACAGAACACTCTGTAGATCATCGAGAACAGAAGTCTCCTTAGATCACAAAGCACAGAACTCTCTATAGATCACCGAGAACAGAACTCTCCATTGACCACCAAGCACAGAACATTCTGTAGATCATTGAGAACAAAACTCTCCTTAGATCACAAAGCACAGAACTCTCTATAGATCACCGAAAACAGAACTCTCCTTAGATCATCAAACACGGAACACTCTGTAGATCATCAAGCACAGAACACTCTGTAGATCATCGAGCGCACAAAACTCCTTAGTCTATATACAGTATAAAGAAAGTAATGTGAAACATTCAAGAATCACTTTCTACAGTTGAACAATTTATTGGTTAGGTGTCAACTAAAGAGTGACCCCAGATTGTGAGAAATGTTCATTAAAACATGCAGAGTTTATTTTCTTGTCCCGGAAAATCTCTTTGCAGTCTAGTGCTATTCATTCCCCTTTCTGGATAGGAAAAATATTTAAGCTCTGATCACACATGCATTGCATCTCAGCCGAGTTGGAAAGTGCAAGGCATAGTGGTGTAAAAGTCATTCCTGAACTGGCAGACGTCCCACCACCTGTCACTCCTAGTTAGAAATTAGCTTGTCTATGGGCAACCAAAAAAGGCAAACACAAGGCAGTAATAATGTGAAAGCTGAGCAACATAATGGAAATGTACACAGCCTTCACTGCTCAGGAGAAATCCAGTGACAGACGGAAATGAAATTGGATAATTCACTTGAAAACTAAATAATAATCAAAGACAAATGAATATACTTATTGTGGGAAATGATTCTGGAAGAAGGCACCAATTATTAGAAAGGAATCCAAATAATAAATTGAATTAGCATATAATGTATCTTGTAAACAAGCAATTATTAGTTTATACTCAGCAGTGTTATGGAGCTGGCATTTTCAAGTTAAGTAAAAGAAGTTAATATGGTGGTGTTCAAAGATGTCCTTAGGAACCCTTAGCTTTGATGTTGAGTATATTTGAATATATTATGTGAGCACACTAGAATTTGTCTTTAAAAAAGCAAGACATGTTTGGTGAACATTGTACTGTATATACATGTTATTTTACAGGTATTCTGGTAAGCTAGGAGACAGTCAAGACACAATGGACATAGTGAGCTCACAGGTGTGAAAACTGTGTCAAATCACTGTTATTTTCTGCCTGATAAGCCAGTAATAGAGGTGACCACAGCATACTCATCCTTGCTCCACAGACCCAGTGTATGACCAGCTTTAAGCAGGCCATAGATAAATCTTGAATAAAAAAAATGACTAGATTCCTGCATACACAAAGTTGATGTGGATGAGGAAATCCTCTCCACTGAGCTATTGTATCCTGAAGTGGAGAGACTTCCCTGCCATCAGAATACACTGATAAGTGACACTGGCTATAGCCGGCGACACTGACTAAGTGGGGAAAATATAACAGGGTGGTTGTACAGAAATCGATTGGTAGATCAACTTCTGTACAACCACCCTGCTCATACATGCATTGTCCCTGTCTCTGCTGAACCAGCCATATTTCAATCCATGTATGGCCAGCATAAATTTTTATAACACCTCAGACATAAAGTCACCATGTCTACACAGATGTGTTATGTTTATTGACAGCCACATAAACATTTAAATAACTGGGAATGATGACAAATCTTGTACTGCTCTTTCTGTGCATGTGTTGTGTGAAGGTTGACAGTGATCCTTTGAAACATTTTCAAACTTCTATGACAAAATGATAATAAACAGAGTGTCTATATATATACATACAGTGAAGGAAATAAGTATTTGATCTCCTGCTGATTTTGAATGTTTTCCCACTCACAAAGAAATGATCAGTCTAAAAATCGAATGATAGGTGTATTGTAATACTGAGAGACAGAATAGCAACAAACAATTCTAAAGAAATGCATGTCTAACAAATGATGCACTGATTTGCATGTTCATGAGAGAAATAAGTATTTGATCCCCTTCACAAAACATGACTTAGTACTTGGTGACAAATCCCTTGTTGGCAATCACAGAGGTCAGACGTTTCCTGTAGTTGGCCACCAGGTTTGCACACATCTCAGGAGGGATTTTGGCCCACTCCTCTTGGCAGATCCTCTCCAAGTCATTAAGGTTTGGTGGCTGACGTTTGGCAACTCGAACTTTCAGCTCCCTCCACAGATTTTCAATTGGATTAAGGTCTGGAGACTACGCCACTCCAGGACCCTAATGTGCTTCTTCTTAAGCCACTCCTTTGTTGCCTTGGCCGTGTGTTTCGGGTCATTGTCATGCTGGAACACCCATCTACGACCCATTTTCAATGCCCTGGCTGAGGGAAGAAGGTTCTCACCCAAGATTTGACGGTACTTTGCCCTGTCCATTGTCCCTTTGATGCAGTGCAGTTGTCCTGTCCCCTTACCAAAAAACACCCCCAAAGCAGAATGTTTCCACCACCATGTTTGACAGTTAGGATGGTGTTCTTGGGGTCATAGGCAGCATTCCTCCTCCTCCAAACACGGCGAGTTGAGTTGATGCCAAAGAGCTCGATTTTGATCTCATCTGGCCACAACACTTTCAACCAGTCCTCCTCTGCATTATTCAGATGTTAAACTTCAGACGAGCCTGGACATGTGCTTTTTTGAGCAGAGGGACCTTGCGGGCACTGCAGGATTTCAATCCTTGTCAGCGTAGTGTGTTACCAATTGTTTTCTTGGTGACTGTGGTCCCAGCTGCCTGGAGATCATTGACAAGATCCTCACGTGTGGTTCTGGGATGATTCCTCACTGTTCTCATGATCACTGACACTCCACGAGGTGAGATCTTGCATGGTGCACCAGACCTAGGGAGACTGACAGTTGTTTTGTGTTTCTTCCATTTGCGAATAATTGCACCAACTGTTGTCACCTTCTCACCAAGCTGCTTGGCGATAGTTTTGTAGCCCAGTCCAGCCTTGTGTAGGTCTACAATCTTGTCCCTGACATCCTTGGACAGCTCTTTGGTCTTTGCCATGGTGGAGAGTTTGGAACCTGATTGTTTGATTGCTCCTGTGGACAGGTGTCTTTTATACAGGTAACAAAATGAGATTAGCAGAACTCCCTTTAAGAGACTGCTTCTAATCTCAGCTTGTTACCTGTATGAAAGACACCTGGTAGCCAGAAATCCTGCTGAATGATAGGGGATCAAATACTTATTTCCCTCATGAACATGCAAATCAGTGCATAATTTGTTAGACATGCATTTCTTTTGAATTTTTTGTTGCTATTCTCTCTCTAAATACACCTACCTGTTACAATACACCTACCATTCGATTTTTAGACTGGTCATTTCTTTGTGAGTGGGCAAACATTCAAAATCAGCAGGGGATCAAACACTTATCTCCTTCCTTGATAAAGTATTCATACCCCTTGAAATTTTCCCCATTTTGTCATGTTACAACCAAAAACGTAAATGTATTTTATTGGGATTTTATGTGATAGACCAACACAAAGTGGCACATAATTTTTAAGTGGAAGGAAAATGGTAAATGGTTTTGAAATGTTTTTACAAATAAATATCTGAAAAGTGTGGCGTGCATTTGTATTCACCCGCCTTTAGTCTGATACCCCTAACTAAAATCTAGTGGAACCAATTGCCTCCAGAGACTATTTTAGTTGTTTTTAACCATTGATGAACTTGAGTAACTATTATGAATTTTTGTAATTATATAATAAAATTTTTTGGATAACATAGTTTCTTTGCATATACACTATATTGCCAAAAGTATTGGGACACCCTCCAAATCATTGGATTCAGGTGTTCCAATCATGTCCATGGCCACAGGTATATAAAATCAAGCACCTAGACATGCAGACTGCTTCTACAAACATTTGTGAAAGAATGGGTCGCTCTCAGGAGCTCAGTGAATTCAAGCATGGTACCATGTTAGGTTGTCACTTGTGCAATAAGTCCATCCTTGAAATTTCCTTCCTACTAAATATTCCACAGTCAACTGTTAGTGGTATTATAACAAAGTGGAAGCAACTGGGAACATCAGCACAGTGCGCAGAAGATGCCAACTGTCTGCAGAGTCAATAACTAAAGACCTCCAAACTTTGTGTGGCCTTTATCACACCAGTGTGTAGAGAGCTTCATGGAATGGGTTTTCATGGCTGAGCAGCTGCATCCAAGTCTTACATCATCAAGTGCAATGCAAAGTGTCAGATGCAGTGGTGTAAAGCACATCACCACTGGACTCTAGAGCAGTGGAGACGTGTTTTCTGGAGTGATGAATCGGGCTTCTCTGTCTGGCAATCCAATGGACGTGTCTGGGTTTGGCGGTTGCCAGGAGAACGGTACTCGCCTGACTGCAGAATTTGGTGGAAGGGTGATTATGGTGTGTAGTTGTTTTTTAGGGGCTGGGCTTGCCCTCTTAGTTCCAGTGAAGGGAACTCTTAAGGCGTCAGCATATCAAGACATTTTGGACAATCTCATGCTCCCAACTTTGTGGGAACAGTTTGGGGATGGCCCCTTCCTGTTCCAACATGACTGCGCACCAGTGCACAATGCAAGGTCATATAAAGACAAGGATGAGTGAGTTTGGGGTGGAGGTACTTGACTGGCCTGCACAGAGTCCTGACCTCAACCTGATAGAACACCTTTTGGATGAATTAGAGAAGAAACTGTGAGCCAAGCTTTCTCGAACGACACCAGTGCCTGACCTCACAAATGCACTTCTAGAAGAATGGTCAAACATTCCCATAGACACACTCCTAAACCTTGTGGACAACCTTCCTAAAAGAGTTGAAGCTGTTATAGCTGCAAAGGGTGAGCCAACTCAATATTGAACCCTACGGACTAAGACTGGGATGCCATTAAATTTCATGTGCATGTAAAGGCAGGCGTCCCAATACTTAATGGCGATATAGTGTATATACAGTGTCTCAAAGGGAGCCTGGAAAAGTCCTATTAGAGGTTTACACATCTCCCTGGCTCCTCTTGTACACTCTTAAAGACATCTGACTCTCTATCCAGTTCAGGTTTTGCACCTCTTCCTTTTGGCAAGTTAGGGTCTACTGGAACTCAGTTCTCTTGAGCCTGGGGAACAGACAAGTTATGTCTGTGAGAGCTGCAAGGTTCTCCTGAGCCTGGGGAACAGACAAGTTATGTCTGTGAGAGCTGCAAGGTTGGTGTATGCTGTAAAATTGTATGTGGAAACTGACACATGCTAGTTAGGATGAGGATTTTGTGTAGTTAGTGCCCAGACACGGCTAGAATTTTGTTTTAGAGCTTTTGCCTTTTTTTTTGTGGAACAATGTACAGCACCTGTAAATAGACTTGTAAATAGCACCAATAAATACAGCACTGTTTGTCATTACATCACTGGACTGGTATCTGTCCCTGAAAGTGTGCTTACCCCAGGGAGCTTTGTACCTGCTACCTATCCCCAGCTCACAACTTCACTTTACACATTTCAAAAACTCAAATTATCATGTACACAAACTCCTAGGGCACCTTCATATTACCCCGCTGCAATTTGGACAAAGCACACCTAACCTGCGGTTTTTGTGTGGGTTAGCTATGCTTTCCCATAGACTTCTATTATGTCCCATGGTTTTCATACTATCATTAAAAAGTCCACTTTAATATACTGACAACCTGCAGGAATACCTATGTAAATGACAGTGTTTTTGTTTAATTCATGCCACAGTTACAGGGCAAATACTAAGTCTAAGTCCATTTCCTCCCTATAGCACATTATCTTTTTTAAGTAGTTATGTTCAAATACACATTTATAAACTGCTTATGCATTGGAATATACTGTAAGTAGTGTGCACTGTTGCCCTTTTTACGGATATATAGATATACAGATGATCCAGCAGGTGGCAGTATAGTACTCTGTACAAGAGTACCTTTGGCTGTTCAGAAGATTGATTTCACTCCACCAAATAAAAAATGATTGTTCAATAAATGTATCACAGACCTTTCATAAAGCTTACATTCTGCAACATCTTTATGTGCTTTTTTATGTTGGACAATGCAAAGAACACAAAGGCAACTGTGTGTCTGTATCTTCAATATTATTTTCATTACTTTCTACTTTACCGTTTACTGAAATTCCTTTTCATATAACTTGTCACCTTGTATATGTAATTATAATATGATCATATAATATGATCACTAAGTCATTGTGCACAAAGGATGGTATGTTCATACAGTAGAACAGATTATTGCTAAACTAAGTGCTCTATATAAGGGTTCATCTGCAGAGCATAGGAATTACATTTATATCAGTCTACGGGGCCCGTTATGTAACCTGCCTTTTAAAAGGCTTTGATGCTGCAGCACCAGCTCTTCTCCATCATTTTCATTATGTAGGAGATGTAAAGCACTGTGCACCAAGCACTTGTATAAATGTAGCCATAAATCACAGAGCAATGGGTTTACTTTATTATAGCTCACTGGCACCACTCATCCTTTCTTTTGCACCTCGGCTGCTCCATTAACCTGGGAAACTGAAGGGACATACAGTACCTGGTGCTTTTTATATGGGCAGCATGTGACTTGCTCTCTTTTCCTACAACACGGCTGCATTGCTACTTGGTGATTGACAGCTCAGGCCTCCAGTATGGTCACACATGGGCATAAAGCTCCCAGTGCCCATGGCGGGGTGCGAAAAAAGGTGAGTATGGACAGCTACTGGAGCCAATATTAAAATGAACCAATTGCTTTTCCCTGTATAGGCAAAGCACAAGGTCACTTTAAGCTGGCCATCCATATTATTATTATTACTATACAGGATTTATATAGCGCCAACAGTTGCGCAGCACTTTACAATATAAGGGAGACAGTACAATTACAACACATTTCAGTACAGAAGGAATGTGAGGGCCCTGCTCGTGGAGCTTACAATCTAAATTTACAGTCCTTATGAAGGTAATAGAGTAAAAACAAGCGTGCATTGCATCCCTCTCCACTTATACGCCATGTGACGACCTTTTTGCTGAGCTGATGCCGAAAACACTTTCTTATTACCTGATTCAATCACTCATTTTTACTTTCTGTGAGGTTCCTAAAAATGATATATCTCTTCTTGTATTGCACTAATGTATGATACATGATCTATGCTACTACTTGATATATTGAACTTCTAAAACTTCAAATATACTTTTTTAAAAAGTTTACAAAAAAGTATGCATAAAAACTATCAAACAAAAATGTCAGTGTTCTCCCATCCTGCACCCACATTCAGATGATAAGGAGGTTCAGTAAATAAAAAATAATAAATGTAGGCCATAGACGGGCCATTTATCGGACGAATTTTCGGCCAATAAATGAAAAATCAGTCAGCCCCATTGCCGATGCTGCCACCCATGTCCACAAAAAATGGCTGTTTTTTGCGGATTTTCCAGCATGACCAATAAAAATAAATGAGGAGATCTGCGAAAAATGCAGACGGGCTGGCCCTACTAACGGCGTGATTATCAGGCGATTTTTCGTGCGGATGAAAATTCGGCCTATAAACGACCCATCTATGGCCTGCAAAAGTCTGCTGGCCTAAATTAAAACAGTGAAAAAAGTGCTCCAATCAAAAAACAGTGCAAAGGAAAGTTCAATGTGTTCCTTAACCACCTCCCGTCCGCCATAAAAGGAAATGACGGGAGCGAGGCGGTTCTCTCATTCTGGGAGGACTTCATATGACGTCCTCCCACTCTAACTGCACATGCGAGCCCCCGGGGGCGCCGATCACTGGTGCGCTGTGTCCTTGGGACACAGTGGATCACCAATCAGTGGAAAGAGCTGATGACTTTGGCTCTGTCATGTGATCAGCTGTATCCAATCACAGCTGATCACATGTAAATAAGGAAATGCCGCTTATCGGTGAGAATAGGAGAGCCAGTAATCGGCATTCCTCAGAGGGGACATCTACACTGATCATCAGGGCCACCTGTCATTGCCCATCAATGCTACCTGTCAGTCACATCAATGCCACATATCAGTGCCCAGCTGAGCTGCCTTTCAGTGCCACCTATGAGTGCTGCCTATTAGTGCCAGTCAGTGCCACCTATCAGTGCCAGTCAGTGCCACCTATCAATGCCATATATGAGTACTGCCTTTCAGTGCTCATCAGTGATGTCTGTGAATGCCCACCAATGATGCCTGTCAATGCCCATCAGTGACACCTACCAGTGCCTCCTCATCAGTGCCGCCTATCAGTGCCCATCACTGCAGCCTCATTAGTGCACATCAGTCAAGGGGAAAAATTACTCATTTACAAAAATAATAACTTTTTTTTTACATTTTCAGTTGTTTTCGGTTTGTTTATCAAAAAATAAAAAACCCAGTGGTAATTAAGTACCACCAAAAGAAAGCTCTGTCTCAAAAAAATTATATAAAAATGTCATATGGGTACAGTGTCGCATGACCGCGCAATTGTCATTCAAAGTGCAACAGGGCTGAAAGCTTAAAATTTGCCTGGGCAGGAAGGAGGTGAAAGTGCCCGGTAGGCAAGTGGTTAAATCATAGCCCCACACCATCCGTGATCACCTTCCGGTATAATCCACACTCACCAAATTTGATGGACTCCTAGCTCGTATGGCTTAAGAGTCAAAAAGATTTTAAGGTGAAGTGTGTTCTCCAGAATAAATCCAGTCAGAGGAAAAATGCTTGCTTGACAATCTTCAATGACCACCAATGGGACAGATGAGATGCAAAGAAACAATAGGGACACTAATAGTGTATTGTTTCTTTGCATCTTAAAAGCTTATTTAACTCTGTTTTAAGTCCATACAAGCCTTTTCTAGAGTCCATCAAATTTGGTGAGTGTGGGACCTTATATTCCCGGAAGGTGATCACTGATCACATGATGTGGGGATATGATTTAAGTAACACAGTGAACTTTCCTTTGGCACTGTCAAAGTGTTTATAGCGCTGAAAGCTAGAAAATTGGCCCTGGGACAGGAAGGGGGTAAAAGTGTTCCGGAGGCAGGAAGTGGTTTTTTTCAATGATTGGAGCACATCCTTTTTTCATTGTTTTAATTTGCTAGGGGACAGTGGATTTTATTATTTATTTTTATCACTGATGGTATTATTATTTTTATTTGTTTATTTTTGCGCTGTAGTCTCAAATATTATTTTTATGTTTGGTGGCAATTTTTCAAACAGTGGCATTAATTATTTGCATACATAGTAATCTTTAATCATGGGTTAATTTTATTACAAATTTTTTTAGGTTGGAAGGTGATCACACCTGCTTCATAAGCTGGAGCTATGGTGCCTGTAAGTCTGCTGCCTAAGGTGAAGATGAAGATATGCATAGTAAAGATGGATCACACCTCCACATTTACACATAAAGTGAATAGGCCGGTGC